AATAACCCATGCCCAATTTACAAGCCCAAACACACTGGCCCAGTTCCAGAAGCCCAAATGATAACCCTAAAGCCTTCTAGGGTTACAACATCTTCTCCAGCCGCCTCAGCATCACAGCCGTTAGATCTGGGTTAGATCCAACGACCCAGATGGTTCCAGACCAAACCCTAGGGTATGATACCCTAGGGCAACCACATGTCGCCGCCTCAGTAATATCCAAACTTCCAGCCACCATGCCTCTGCCAATTGATCCAACCGGCCATTGCCGACGGTCAGCCGCCCCACGTTGATATCTCACTGCCACGAGCCTCTCCATAAGCTTCCAGGATCGCCAGACAGCCGCCCACGTCGAGCTTTATGGTGAGTCACCACCATAGCTATGGTGACTCACCAAAATTCATTCCTTTAACCGGTCCGATGAGTGTCTCGGTGATGGCTATAAACTCCATCAACCACCTGCAAAGAAACGGACAGACAGGGAGAACCCAACAATACAAAACAAAAAACACAACCACCAAGAACCACCAACAAACACGAAGCAAGACCTAAAACAGAAAGAGAAGAGTGAGAGGAACTTATCAGGGAAGAAAACACCTTGATCTAAGTCACCACTGAACTCCAAGCGCCACCAAAAAACCATCAAAAATCGAAGGTAATTTCATAGTTTTGCTTCAATTGAGAGAGTTTTAAGGAAAAACGACACCGGAATCGGCCTTAGCAGGTTTCGATCTATAGTTTGGGGTAGGATTGTAATTTCCAGCCACCGTGAACGGTGGCCGACGGTAGGGTTGGCGGCGGCAAACGGTTGCCGATCGATGATCGGATTCCCTCCGGTGAGGGAATCCTAGAGAGAGGCGAGAGTCTTTCATTATCTCTCAGCGAGAGAGAGAATGAGAAATGAGAAAATGAAGAAGATGGCCCGAAGGGCCAGCCATTTGGGGGTATTTAAACCCTTCCCCAAACGACGCCGTTTTGGGGAGGGTATCTGTGTAATTTCACTCATGGGTAAACTGTACCTGTAGTCACTATAGTTTGTAATCCTTGCAATTTAGTTTCTAAAAAAACAATTCTTGATCATTTTAATCTAGTCTTCGAACTTTATTGTTTTTATGTATTAGTCCATACCAGTATATATGTATTTTAGGATAAATAACATATTTAATCTTCATAATTTTAATAGATTTTATTTTAATCCCAAATAAATATATATGGTTAAATTACTCCATAGATGCTTAATTTTCATAATATTTTAGTTGGAGCTTTTAACTTTAATATGTTATATTTTAATCACAAACTGCAAGTTTTAATTTATTTAAATTTAATGTTCGAAAGTTATATAATTTTATTTTAGTCCCTAAATAAAAAAAAGAAAAAATTGCATGTTTAGTCACTGAAATATTAAATAATTATTTATCAATTAGGTATCTAATTTTAAAATGTTATAATTTAGTCCCTAAGTTTAATATTTTCATTTATTTTACAAGCTTTATTACTTTTTATATTTTAATATTATAGTTTTAATTTTATTTATATTAAACATTGTTTAATTATATTTTACTTTTATATGTTTATGTTTATATATATTTAATTATCATTATTATTATTATTATTATTATTTAGTCATGTAAATATATATATATAATATTTATTTATTTTATTAAAATCCTCTTTATAAATTTAATATATTATTTTAAAATCATATTTTAATATATATTTATCAATATTAAGAAAGAATAGTCTTAAAGCAACTGGATGTCCATTTTCTGATATTTTTAAATAAAATAAATATTTTACTTTTATAAATAATATATAAATCTATTTTATATATTATTATTTTTAGATAAATGTTCTATTAAAATTTATTTATTTTTTAATATTAAGAAAGGAGCTGTCTTAAGGCACCTAGAAGCCCTTTTCTGATATTTCTAAATAAATAAATATCTTATTTATATTTAAATTAATATATTTTCATAAAATTATAAATTTGAAATAACAAGATTAGAAATTAAATATATCTTTGAATTTTTAAATTTCTGATAATAGAGATATAATTAATAAAGTATTAATTTTGGGCGCTGTAGGGGTGCTAATCCTTCCCTAAACGTAATCGACCACGAATCCTTTCTACTAAAAATTTTTGGTTATACGCAGATCAATTTTATCTTTTAAATTATGTTTTATTCAAAACTATTTTAAAAGATTATTTTTAGGTATTTGACCTACCTAACCCAACAAGGTCAATGGCGACTCCCAAAATATTTTTTTTAATTAAAATCATTTATTTTATTTTTTCCCGCCAAGTGAAAGTAAAAATTCGTGCCCGGACGAAAACCGGTTACGACAATAGTCCTCCGATTATATGGCTTTATTATATTGAGTCCCCCGACTATTAAAAGTCACAAAATGGTCACTTGACTATTCATATGTTCCAAACTGGTTATTTTTCGTTAAAATATTGACAACAACCTTAGCTGGATGTTAATCTACTAATTGAAATATGATAAAATCTGACTCCAGAATCTCAAATGACTATCATATATAAATCGGCATACTAACGTTTAGCTCAGACGATTGTCAATTTTTAACGAAAAATGACGAGTTTGGAACATGAATAGTCAGATGATCATTTTGTAACTTCAAATAGTTGAGGGACTCAACAAAGCAACATGCTATAGTTATTTTGTAACTTTTAATAGTCGGAGATTCAATAAAACCGTATAGTCCGGAGTCCATTTGTGCACTTTACCTTAGTTCTTCATGTCAAACATATTTAAATCAAATACCTACTTCGAATCCGAATGATAATTAAAATTAACAAAAACACAGTTGAAATCTGGTTTAAAGGATTACCATATTGTTGAGGATGATTCATCATGTCAAACAATGGCTCATAAATGTTTGCATATAAAATTTTGCTCCATGGAAGCTTTGCTTGTAATTCTGGCAACAGTTTGGCAAGCTTCTCGTTATAAGATCGAGCGTCGGAGTTCTGATCTTCTATGCATTTTCGATTTGTTTGAATCTCAAATTTGGCCGTCATTTGAATTGGTACACAACCGATCGGAGGTAGCCCAGCTACGACCATTTTCCGGCATCCCAGTTCATATAGTTCCTATAAGTTGAATCATAAAATTTGATTATATAAATGAAAAATTCAGATCGGAAGTTCGAATCATGGGACATCCGTTTTTTTAATGCATTTGGTGTGATGATACGATCATTACTATCAAACTAAAAGGCTAATGTAGGGATGGCAAACGGGCGGGTCGGGTGCGGATACCCCCTCCCCCATCCCCATATCCACCTAATATTTTTCAATCCACCACCCGCCCACCACCCATGATGGGTACAAATTTTCAAATCCACACCCGCCCACACGGGTACATTTTCAAATCCATCCCCACACCCACTACCCACTAGCGACATACCCATCTAGACCCGCCTGACAACAAACTAATGGGATGTTGGAGTTGGTTCCCAGACAGTTCGTGATGGGGTAGCAGCGCATGCTTCAATTTGTCAGAGGAGTAGCTCTACGAATGTTATGGAGACAGATTGTAGGGAGCATGTAGTCGCAGAGCTGGATTGTTGTGTTGCTTTCGATGTTAATGCTCATAGTGCGCCTAATATGGGTTTTTAGGGGCTAAAGAACATGGAAACTGCTGCTTTTGATGTTAATGCTTATAGTACGGCTGATTTGTGTTTGGATGGGCTGCATGGGCTAAAGAACATGGAAAGTGGCGTGGTTAGTGGGATTATGAGTTTAATCAAAGAGCCGAATATTTCCCTAATTAAAGACTAGATTAAAGACTAAATATCCTTAATATTTGGATAAATTATATGTTATATATTATACATATTAAAATTTATAAATTAGTCTCTAAAATTACACCTAAATTCATAATGGTCCAAAATTTAATAGATATTTAGTTGGGTGGGCGGATGTGGGGCGGGTAATGTCTCAAACCCATTACCCGCCCACCACCCACGACGGGTACCACTTTATAAATCCACACCCGCCTACTACTCGCTAAAATTATATCCATCCCCGCTCCAATTAGAGCGGATGCGGAATCCACGAAACTGTACCCGTTTGCCATCCCTATGCTAATGGTTCAATTGATCAAGTGGTGGTTATAAAATAATTTTTAGGGTAAAATACACAAATGGTCCATCTATTGTAGGTGCTGCTTTGTTGAGTCTCTCGATTATTAAAAGTTATAAAATTGTCCTTCGACTATGTGGTGTTGCTTTGTTGAGTCTCTCGACTATTAATAGTTCCAAAATGGTTACTCTACTATTCATATGTTCAAAACTCGTATTTTTCAATAAAAAAAATTAAGAGTCGTTAGAGCTGGATGTTAATATGTTACCTGAGATACGATAGTCGTTTAAGATTCTAAGATTAGATTTTAGCATATCACAATCAGTAGGTTAACAATCAGCTTAGATTGTCATCAATTTTTTAACAGTAAAGGACGAGTATGAAACATACGAATGTTCAAATGACCATTTTGTAACTTTTAAGAGTCGAGGTACTCAACAAAGCAACATCCTATAGTCGGGAATCATTTTATAACTTGTAATAGTTGGGGACTCAATAACGTAAAACCGTATAGTCATTGACCTATTGTGTACTTTATACTATTTTTATAATATATATATATATATATATATGAGGAAGATCCAATTACACCAAATGTAAAATTAATAGTTTTACAATTTTTTAGGACCGTTGGATGAGAAAAATCAAAGTTTGAGACTAACAATATAAAATGAGAAGATAATCATTAAAAAATAATGAGTTAATCTTAACCTTTGATTTCCGTCATCCAACAGTCCTAAAAGGGTATAAAACTAAGAGTTTTACACTGTGGGTAAGTGGATCCTAACCCATATATAGTCTATTCGGGTTTGAGCGGTCCTTCTGATTTAAATTCGTGACAATTCTCAAGTTATGTGAGTCGAGCGAGTTGAGTAAATTACCTTGAGAAAATCTTCTACTTTTTGAGTTGGTATCCATCAATGTCGAACTCCAATCGTCTGGTCGGAATATCGAAGAAATTGAAAACAAAATCATTAGTTCCTGTGCTGATTATTACCAGAGCTTCACCGATGATGTTCTTCGCCTTATCTTTGCCCACAACTCCATTAAGCTTCTCTACGTAACTCTTGAACATATCAACTTGTTTTGAAACCGGGATCACATTGGATACCCTAGTAGTTAAATCATCGAACCCTGATCCTGCTGAGGCGAAGCTAACGCCTGTTCGGAGCTCATTTTCCGACAGAGTTGGCTTCAAAAACGGCGGGACTTCGTCTTTGATCCTTAGAAACGACGCGATGAAATCGGGAACAAGTTTTCCATAAGAAAATCTTCCCGTCGGCACGTGGCCGGGAAAGTTTTCACCGTACGGAGGCATATTAGCTTTAAACAATGATTTGATATAGTTGTTATTGCCAGTATCTACGGTGGAATCGCCGAAGACGATAATGGCAGGGAACTTTGGCGGTGTCAGGGTTGTTACCGTGGCAGAGATGGCAGCAGCGTTGATCGTGATCATATAAATGAGTATTACTACAACGATGAAGTGTATGGAGGTTGTCATCTCTACTTCTTTTAACAAGAGGCGCATTTGAGAACAGGTAAATACTTTATCAGTGGATTACTATTTATAATTGCAATTGTTGGGTATTTTATAAGTTAAACAAATTATTTGACGAATTAAAATGTATAGTTTAGGTATCACTCAATTTGAATCTTAATCAAATGATTATTATTTATAAGTTTTTCTCTTACACGTGTGAGTCTATTATCGTTCCTCAGTCATATTTCGAATAAAATTAACTTTACAATAGAGCAACTATCTCTTATAAGAGTCCCTTTTACAGTTTAAACGTGATGGGATAGAGTATGCGATAAACCAATACTCATGAGTCTTAAATCGAGGCTCAAAATTTAGTTTTTAGAATATAGGTACAAAGTAATACGACTGTTAGAGTTAAGTTCCAACTTCTTCTAAAACCAGTCTATGAAGTTATGATCAAAACAATGGTAAAAGTGTGAGGATTGTAGTATAATCCTTTTGATCCCTATAAATAGAAAGTAGAAGTTGGGGTTTTGAGATGTAACATTATAATAGTATCTTATATTTTTAGACAAAATGAAAGTTTCTTTTTCTCTATACGTGATTTTCTAGTTTTAAGTTTTTTTTTACGTAAATCTTGGTGTAATTTATTTTTTTATTTGATCATATTTATCTGTTATTAATCGTTTCGAAAATGATAACGATGACATTGATTTGAGTAACGAGAACCGTTGAGGCAAAGTTTGTGCCCCATTAATTTTAAATGATGAGAGATAATTTCATAAAAGGTAATTGCTCCAATACAAGATTAGTTCCGTTGAAAATATATTTCAAGAACTCCTACGACAAAAGAGAGAGTATGATAAAGTTCATATATATATATATATATATATATATATATATTTAAATTTTTAATACTAAATTTTTTTAAAATATTTAAAATATTTATTGCTTTCAATTTTTTTTAATAAATTTTAAAATATTTATTTATTATTATTTATAAGTTTTAAAATTTTTAATTTATTTAAAAATTTAAATGTTTTAAATATTTTAATATATTAATAATTTTAATATTTTCTTTAAGAATTAAATAAATCTTCAAATTTTCTAAAAGGCTAATTAGCTTCTTCTGTTACATAATAATTCACACGTTGAAGAATTTACTAGTTAAAAAATCTAATTGATGAATTTACTAGTTCAATATCTCAATTAAGTGCGAGAAAAAAAAAGAGTTTTAATAATCTTTTCGAAGTTCAATGGCTTCTCATGCCTTAAGTCATTTAATAATTCATTTAATTATGTTATATACACACACATTTCATTTAGGTCTAATGATATTCTTTAACCTCAAATTTTTATTAAAATTCATTTTAGCTCTTAATTATTTATATATACACACATTTCATTTACTCTTTATACAAAAAAGTAAAAAGTAATTACTAAAATCTATATAAAATATAATATATATTAAAATTTTATAAAAATATATTAACTTTTTATAAAAAATTTAAAGAATTAGAAAAATAATAAAGTATTTGACACCAATTTAATAAGTATATTATTTTTGTATCAATTGACTCAGTTAAAAAAATTAAAAAATTGAAGATAAAAAGGAAACAAAAAAATTAACGACTATAAAGATTTTCTTTTAAAAATTGAAGTTTAAAATAGTCATCATTTTTTTGTTTATTGTGATCTATATGTTCAATTTATATTTATATTGTATCTTTATTATTAGTTGTTCTTCTGATTTTCAGGGCTTTGTCCTAATTAATTTAGACTGATTGGTGTTACATACTTGGTTTTGATGAATGAGTTTCTCGACTGATTTTCTACATGCACAAAATCTCGAATTCAAAATTTATTTAAATAATATCAAACTACTAACCACTTAAATCAACCCGTTAATTATTTATATTGTATCTTAATAATTCACATTTACTTGGAAATGTGGATAAAATAATAAGTGAGTCACAGGTTGTGACTTGGAAGAGAAACTACGAGAAGAAAGGAAACGTAAAATGAATTTCTAAGTTACATTTTCTTTAAAATTAAGAAGGTCGATAATAATTTGAAGCACATAATCATGTTGACACGTTCATGAACCCTGTTATCTATATGATCTTAGCCTTGAAGATGGTCTTTCTTAATTTATACTGATTAGATTCCAACTTCATTCCTTTTTTTTTTCTTATAAAAATCGATTTTCGATTTATTAATAGATTAATTTAGATTGAGTATTGTAGAGGTAAGGTCGTTTTTTGGACCAAGTTTATTCTATTTGCAAACATCAAAATTTGAACCTCTAACCTTGCTTAAGAAATCTAATATCTCATCATACTAAATCAACTGATGATTGATGTCATCTTCATTCTTTATTAATAATAAAACTTATATCTACAATCAGTTGGTCTAGTGAGATGAAGCACTAGATTTCTTATGCAATGTCAGGGGTTCGAACCGTGGTATTTGTGAATGGAGCAAACTGGGTTTAGAGGGTCACCATTGCCTCTGCAGTACCCGATCTAGATTAGTTGCTTAATAGATCGGATACTAGTGATTAATTAAAAGATAATAATAAAACTTATATCTAGTCTAAATTTAATTAGAAAATGTAAATAGCTTTTTAAATTTTTCTTATTCTTGTAATTTGTGAATAATCTAAATAAAGATTTGGAGATTTAAAAAAAAAAAATCAAATCATACTTCAAAAGATAATTGTATTAAAAAATTATATCTCGTTTAAATTTAATTATATGTGTTAAAAAATGTGAATAGCTTAAGGTGTTTATAAGGTAATATTTGTTCATAATTTTTCTTAACCATTGATAACCTAGACATCAAGGGCGAAATTAGGATGAAATTATAGGAAGGGCCAAGTTGCTTATCTTTGAAATTAACAAGGTTCTAAAATGTAATTAAAAAATAGAGGACTAAAACTTAATTTCACTATTTTCAAAATTGTCAAAAGTAATTAAACCAAAAAATTAGAGGCAATACTTAATTTCATTTGACTTTAAAATTGATAATATATTAAAAAAGTAATTAAACCAAAAAATTTTAGGAGGGTCAGTACTTAATTTTAATTGTTTCAAAACTTTTAAAGGCTTAAAATACAATTGAACCATAAAAGTTGGGGTGGGTCGTGTCTCCCTTCCGCCCCATGTGGTTCCGCCATTGGTAGACATACCCATAGACACAATTATTTGAACCTAGGATCTTTAGGGAAAACAACACTTCCTTAAACCATGAAGATCATTTGATGTTACATATATATACCAAAATTTTGAACTTAAATATAACATGAAATATTATATAATATATCAAATTAATCATACTTGAGCGCAGGAGTGTAGCCGGGGAAGGCAGGCGCCCAAACCCTCAATGTTTTACATCATTAAAATATATTATATATTGTATCATAATTTAAAAATAATATAAAATTACATGAATCCAATGACCTTAGTAGTAAAGGAATTGTTATTATTCCTTGAGGTCTCGTGTTCGAGCAATAGGAATGCCAAAGATATGAGTGTTCATTATCAAATGACTAAGAGTTATCTTTAAATAAATACAACCTTATACATTCCTCAGATTATATATATATATATATATATAATTAAATTTCCTTAAAAAATAATTTAGTCCTTATAAAAGTTAAGATAAACTATCTATTTAGACAATCAATTGTTATTGTGTTTATGTTTTATCACTAAATTACTAAAGTTTTTAACTTAGTCACAAATGTTACATTTTTATTTTGTTTTTATCATTGAACATTAAAAAGAAAACATGACTATTACATGGCCAAATATAATAATACATTTAATCTTTAAATTTTTTAAAATTTATCGATTTAGTTCTCAAACACATTATCCTCGCATGCTAACCATTGTAAATTTACAATTCAAAACAGGGAAAAAAGATATAGAGGAAAGAGTACAACAACTGAACATCATAGCAAATTAAGTTAGATTACAACGAATAGGGAAGGGTTTTGACAACTTATGCAGAATATTGGATTAAAAATACAGTAAATAGTAATGGTTTTTGAATATTATAATTTAGACACAATATTCTATGAATAAGTGTATCTTTTCATCAACCTATTACGATAAATGTATGTGACTATTCATGATGAATGTATGTGACTATTTGATGTTATGACCAACAAGGATGTGGAAATATAATTGTGAAGATCATATAAACAATGATAAAGATCAACACAGATCAAGAGGAAGATAAAGATTTAGTTATCAAAGATCGAATGAAAGGAGGAATGATAAGTCCAATGTTGAATATTATAATTGTAAAAAATTTGGTTATTTTCTTGGTAATGCCAAAATGAAAATATAAATGAAGAGATGGTATTTTCATTTATATTCGATAATAAGGTTATGGCTACCATCCTTTAGAGAAATTAAAATTATTCATAATAAAGGATGGTAGCCATAACCTTATTATCGATGTTCATTATGTGCCTAAGATAAAAAGTGATATTTTGAGTTTGGAACAACTCCTTGAAATGGGTTATGAAATTCACATGAAAAATTGTTGTCTTTGGCTAAGAGATCAGTATGCAAACTTGGTTGCAAAGTATCAATGTCAAAGAATATAATGTTCTTGTTAAATCTCAAGATGATTGGTGCATAGTGCTTGAAGGCTAGCGTGAAAAATGGTGTTTGGCGTTGGCACATGAGATTTGATCACTTGAATTTTGGAGCCCTCAAAATGCTCGGAGAAAATATGGTAAATGGAATTTTGGCCATTAGTCACTCTAACTAATTGTGTGAGGCATGTCTTTTGGGCAAGCATGCAAGATCAAATTTTCCCAAAGAAGCAACATCAAGAGCGATCAAGCCCCTTCAACTTGTTCATATTGATGTATGTGGACCTATCAATTCGCTATCATTCGGTAAAAGAGATACTCCATGCTCTTCATTTATGATTATAGTAGAAATACTTGAGTTTACTTCTTGAAGCATAAATCTAAGGCCTTTGATTTTTAAAAAAAATTAAAG